AGAGAGAGAGAGAGAGAGAGAGAGAGAGAGAGAGAGAGAGAGAGAGAGAGAGAGAGAGAGAGAGAGAGTTCTTCTTCTTTCTCTTCTAAGTCCACATTCTCTCCTCACCCTCTCGCTACCTAACTTCTGAGCACCTGCAGACTACGAGAAGAGAGAGATTGGTGATTTGGGACTTGACGACATTCGGACTCAGACTCGACATTTGGGATTCAAACATTTGAAGAGGGATTATTTGGGACTGTGCGAAGACTTGGTGTTGACGACATTCCCATCTTCCTCTCTTCTTCGTCTGATCCCCCCCTCTTCGTCTGTGCATGCATAGGGACTGGCGCATTCTTCCTGTGTGGGCGCCAGGCCCCTTTTCTCCATATGATGATGATGATGTATGTTTGGTTTGCACTGCGACATCGATTGAATGGATCATTGGTATATTAGCCTTCCGTTGTGCTATTCTGAACAGTGTGAGAGAGATTGGTTCTTGTTCTGGTCATCACCTTTACAGTGTGGAACAGTAAGTGTGTGTGCACGTGTGAGAGAGAGAGAGAGAACGAAGGGAGAGAGAAGGAGGAGATGAGAGGAGATGATGATGATGATGATGATGATGATGATGGTGGAGATGTGAGGGCACTTACCTTGTATTGGCGATGGTCTGTATGGGCGTCATCTTCGAGTACTTCGGGCTGCAATTGATGTCAACAGTTGCATTGTCTTTTTGTAGTCTGCAGTAGCTGTGTAGGAACAGGCTGGGCGCTGAGCCCCAAGTATGAGTGTGAAGGAACTGGACTCTTGTGATGAGAGTGGAGAGAATGCTCTCCATGGACATTGGTTTTCAGTGCTACTAACCTCCATCGATATATTATTGGTGCAATGCTGCACTCTGGACAAGGTGTGACTATTTGGCTTTCAATATGATGGTGTGATCTAGGATTGCCATCTCGCTGTTGCTTATTTTCCTCGTTGCAATATTTTTATTATTATTATTATTTTATTATTATTATTATTATTGTTATTATTATTATTATTATTATTATTATTATTATTATTATTATTATTATTATTATTATTATTATTAGTATTAGTATTAGTATTACATGCACGATTGAATAAGGTGCATGTGGCATCTGTGTAACGAGGTTGTAAAGGGGGGGGAGAGACGTACCTGGTGGAGAGGTGGTCGGCATTGGTGTTGATGTCATCATTCGCTGGTCGTCAAGTGGCAGGGCGACGATCGCCCTGCCAAACCCTCACCTCCCCCCACCCTCCCACCTTCTTCTTTTTCTTCTTCGTCTTCTTCTTCTTCTTCTTCTTCTTCTTGTTTCTTTCCTTGTTTCTTTCTTTCTTTCTTTCTTTCTTTCTTTCTTTCTTTCTTTTTTATTTTCATTGTTTCTTTTCGAAAAATAAAAATAAAAAGGTGGGTGGGAGGGGGGGGAAAGGGAGGGTTTGGCAGGGCGATCGTCGCCCTGCC